TTTTGAAGTATGTGTTATGCAATGTTCATATATCAAATTTAAACAAAGGTTTATTTTACAAATCTAGAGGAGATAGAATTTGAATTTTCATATTGAAAAAATTTACATAAATTGATCGGCGAAAAATCCGCACATATGATTTTTTATATGTGTGCTCAACTATGTTTGTGTTTAATATAATTTGTAACACCCCAATCCTTTATGTAAGAGTTGACCCTTTTTTTGATTTTCTCTTGTCTGCTTCTCTTTTCTCTAGTGTTGGTTTCCAAAACTAGAGAGTTTCGCAACCGTGCGAAAGTCAAAAGGTTTCGTCACAAGTCGAAACTAGTTTTGATTTTTGATTATTGACTTTTGATTTAGTTTTGACTTATAACTTTTAATTTTAGTCTTTGACTTTCGTCTCTTCAAAATAGTTTTGGAGACCAACACTACTTTTCTCTCAGTAAAAGACGAGCCTTCCCTTTTGAATTCCTTTAATTTCTTTTGATATGATCCAACCTTTTATTTACGAACTCTTCATCAATATTTTTTTTTTTCCAGAAAAATAAAAGATCACATAACAGAAATGTCGGTAGTGAATATAAATTCATGACCATCATTCTAGTTGATTAATTAGCTTGATTTTTCAATTAGGATTATATATCCACGTTCTTATGCATATATGTTTCAAGCAAAAAAGAACAGACAATGAATGTTCATTTACCTTACATACCAGAACGTGAAAGTGGTTGGGAAACAAAAAATATGTTTTTCCCGGAGGAGAAAAACAAGGAGTAATTTTAATTTTATAATAAGATAAATTAGTATAGATAAATTTTATAAACTTTTTAAATTTCCTGTCAATTTAAACCAAAATTTGCAAATATTAAAATAAATTTGAAATAAATTTTTACATTAATTAAAAAACTAATATTAGCACTAGTGAAGTAAGCCCTTGATATGGAAGAACTGATGTATAGTAATAAGCAAATATTAATACTAATTATATATATATATATATATATATATATATGATTTTTAGCTCTAATTTCTATACCTCATTAACCATCACTATTCAAATACCATGATCATTTATTAAGTTCTAGTGGTGAAGAAAGGTACCCAGGCATTTACTACAATTGGAACGTATGTCATTAGATAAAGAGCTTGAAGATATTGAAAAAATTAAAGAAGGAATTGAAGAAATCAACAAAGAATTACTGTAAAGGTTCAACGACGTGGTTTAGGGGCATATATTAATTAGACTTTTTTTTTGTATGTACAATAAATTTATATTTAATTGTTTGTTATTCGCTATTTCTTATTTATCTCCTTTATTACTATTGTTATTGCCATCTTAATTATCTTCGTCGTCATCATCATCATCAACTATACATACAACGTCATTGTCAACTTTTTCATCATCATCTTCTTCGACTATACATATATCATCGTCATTTTTTTCATCATCATCTTCAACTATATATACATCATCATCATCGTCATCTTCATCTAAAAATATGAAAAACATTTCTCTTCTAGGAAACAATGCTTTTTTATTTACATATTTTATAAAGCTCATGCTTACAGCATCTCTAACCACGATACTTAAAGTATTGGGTTTCGGAGATATAGTCAATAATTCTTCTTCCTGTGACACATAATGAGTTCCACCTTGCCAATTTATATTCCATTCATGAACAATACATGAAAGTATTACATCCAGACCTTGTTTATCCATTGCATGATCATGTATTAAAGTGTAATCACCACATTGAAATCTCCTTATTTCAGAAGATATGGCAAGTGTATTAAAACATGATATTTCTGAAATAAAAGATTTAAAAGTGTCAGAAAGAAAGAATTTATAAATGTGCATGTAATAGGGGGTATCGGCATCCTCACTGTCTTCTTCATCTATTGTTGGCCTTTTGATCAAGTGATATTTACGAATAAAAGGTGGTCCAACAGGATCATCATTCCATTCGGCATCTTTGTCAAGACTCTTAACTAATTTGTTGTAGACATCTTGTTGTAAGAATTGATGAAGTTCGATAGATGCTTCATTTCTCAACGCCTTTAAAATATTTTTTGTACCTTCTTTAGTAAGATAAGCAGGATTAACGAGTTCATTGATGTTGTAAACTTTTGGAATTGGTGGAATGAATTTTGCTATTGATAATCGAGTGTTTAAAGGTCCATGAAACCAACCAGAAATTGAAAATCGGATTTTCGAATTAGTCAAAACTTCAGAAACTTGATGATAAGAAGTTGGACTCAATTCAAAAAAGACCATGGTGTTCCATGACGGAATTATCGATCGTATTATTTGATTTGGTTGTCCAAGATTGTCTCTAAATATATATACATATTAAAAAAATTTTTTGCACACCATTTAAAAAAGAAATCTACAAAAAATCTATCTTTATAATTATCATTACATTTACATGTTAAACAAATCCAATTTTCCACCATCATCTTCACACCAATCCTCATCAACTAAATAAATAATAAAGGCAATCCTTCTGCCATGCATGTTATCATCATCTTTAATATCATCATCGTGACATAACAAATAATTCCCTTGAATGTATTGATGAGCTGATAAATCTGGTGTAGAATCCAAATCCACCACACCTGTTAATTCTGAAATTGTTTTAACAAATAGATCCGAATAGATTGTTTCACGAAGCTTTATTAAATTTGGTGACTTTGTTAATTTCAAATCCTCGCTTTGATAAAATTCATACAAGTCATTTGATTTATGATAAAATGTATCAGCTTCTAATTCTGATCTTATTGATTTTAGAAAATCCGAAGAAAATATGTTTGGTAGCAAAGTTATAGGGAAAGGTGAAGTATAAGTTTTTGCTAAAGTAGCAGGATCGTTAAACTCTTGCTTATTTTGATATGTTTGATGAAATTTTTTGATAAATTGTGAATTGATATAATCAGAATTGATAAGAATTGGTGGATCATTATCGGTGTTGTCGATAATTGTTAAAGAAGTTTTTTCATTTGTATCAACGGTTTTTATTTTTTTATTTTTAAAAGAAAGTTCTTGATCTGCCGAAGACAAATGTTTTTCCATTTTATTATAATAAAGATGGAATTCGGTTTAAAAAAAAATGTTGATCTTTGATAAATATATTATACTTTATGCAAAAAAAAAAATATTTTTATCAACAATTTTTTTTTAAATTAATTTATTTAGTATGTGTGTATATATATATCAAGGATAAATTGCAGCTTCAAGCCATTTAATCTCATTGTCATCATTATCTTTGACAAGATGCCATCTAGTTCTTTTATTGGGCCAAACTGATAACTCCAATCTATCAACTTCATCAACCTCCAATATTATTAAACACATATTTTCATGAACTTTTAAATCTGTTACCTTCTCGATATTCTCTTTTGATTTACTTTTTTCAGTATTGGTAGCTGCGATTATTAATTCATCATCATCTACAACTTTATCAATCGTAATTTTACCGCCTGGTGGTTTCTCGGATATAGCAGCATAAAATGAATGTTTAATTTCAAAAGAAAGTTTTTGCCAATGTTTAATACGTTCTTGTTCCCAGTTGAAATTTGATGGCAGCAAATGAGAATTTACGAGTTGAGTATATGATGGAGATGTTCTTAATGTAGGATGTATAATATACGCATTGCCTGATAATCTTAATTGATTATTTGTTGAAGGGAACCACCTGTTGTTGTATTTTATACATTTATATTTATAATTACTATTAAAAAATATAATTTTCATTATAATAAAAATTCATGAATTTTACCAGCAAACTTCATAACCAGGATTTTTTAATATTTGCTCAACTTTTTTAGTTCTAATATCGGTTGTTATAACCAACAAATCAGTTTCAATTGTCGGATCATCATCATCACTACGATTTAGAAATCCACGAAAAATCACACTACGATTTGATGGTCGATTTGTAGACGAATCAAAAGTTGATAACTAGAGTTTTTAGGGATAATCAATGAATTAAAAATTGATAAATAAATAGTTTATACATACATAATATATATACCTGCATTGGTTGCATTCTATTTGAAGTTTTGAAATGTTCTGTAATTAATGATTTTATTATATTTTTCCATGGTGCTGGTGCCATTTTTTGTCTTTCTTGGTATTTAAATTTGTAAATAATTCTTTTTTGAAAATCAAAAAAATTCGATGATCGTTTTTCTTATGGAAAATAAATAAATAGGAATTATATCAAAAACATTGTTAGCAAATGGATATTTGGATACAATGGATCCCATTGGACTCGATCGTTATTATTGTCGTCGAATGGTTCTAACGCACACAGATTTAATTTCAATATAATTGTAGTAGCATTAATGGCTTGATTTGCATAAAAGAAAACAATCAATCTATAAATAATCGTTAGCACAAGAAGTTGAGAGAATTTAGAGGACAATCAAATCAATATTCATCTATTTTTCCCAATCAATCGTGGACCTTCGGTATATAAAATGGTACGATAATGTTGGCATGATGGTGTGCAAAATATACAATATTATTATAATTACGTTGAGTATTAATAATAATAATAATAATAATGAATACAAGAATCTATATTCAAATAAGAAGAATAATCTAATTCAAAATGGTGAAAATTTTACTAGTTAAAAAAATTTATAAACATCGTTAGAATCTACTATGAAAGAATGATAATAGAGAAAAAGAGGAAAGAAAAAATTGCTTGCTGGAATCGTTTATCAAAATGGCTTGCAATCCTACTACCTCATTAAAATATAAACTACACTTGATTTCTTTGAAAAAAAAAACTCCACGGAAACAAAGTATCCAAACAATAAACTGTTGTATTGTTATCATTATTATTATTATTATTAATATTATTATTATATCAACATTATTATTATATTATTATTAATTATATTATTATGATTATTAGGTTATATCGTAAACTTATTCAATTCTGATTAAAATTCCTTCTAATTTTAATTATTCGGATAAAATATAATGGCAAAATTTTAACCGATTATTTTAATTTTAGCAAGTAATCAATCGTTTAATCATTCAATCATTCAGTTCGTTGTTTCTTTTTTGTTGGATTTTGTAATTCTTCTATTTCTTCTCTGAGTCTTCCATTTTCAGCCTTTAACAATTCAACCTGTGCTTGTAATTCTTGAATAGCTTGATCTGTTAATAACTTCTCCAACGTCCACTTTTCGATATTGGTAGCTTCATTTTCTTTGAGTTGTTGGATATATTGAACTGCTCTATTAAGAATGCTGCCTTTGTTTTTCTCACAACCAGGCACAATTTTTGCCAATTCATTGATACCAGCGTTGATAGTATCACGGCGACGACGTTCTACTTCTTTATGGTTTTCACGACGTTGCCTATGCCATTCATCACTACCTACTGGAGGTTTACCACTCGGCGTTGTTTGAGGTGTTGATGAAGCAGAAATTGAATTACCTCGTAATGGAGTGTGAAGTTGTGATGGTGATGATTGTTGAACTTGTTGTTGAAGTTGTTGAACATTATGTTGAGGAGTGTGTGGAGCTGGTTGAATTGCTACAGGTTCAGTTTTTTGTTGAGGGGTACTAGGCGAGGAAGAATTAACGTTACTATCAATTCATAAATTATATAATATATATATATATATATATCCAAGTTAATATTACAAAAATAAAAAGTTTAAATATAAAACCAATTAATAATTAATTTTAAAAATAAAATAAAAATCACTTTAAAAAGGTTCCATACTTTTGTTGGTTTGGATTAGTAGATTTTGGTGTGGTCTGTGTTGTGAGGGATGGACTAGTTTGAGTTTCCTCTTTTGTTGAAGATGTAATTTTTGGTGATTTTGAAGAATTTTCTGTAAAAACACTCTAGATAAAAATAATTTACAATTAAATATGAAAATTCTTCATTGTGTGTATGTATATGTATATGTATAATATGTAAATATAATGTACAAATATAATTTCATACCATTTTCATTTCTTCGGCGGATGACATTTCTTTTTGTGAAATAGGGGACAGACAGAGAAGTAAAAGGGTAAAAAAATGACTGGACGATACTGATATCTTGTGACCATCTTGTGATATATGGTGACGCAATGTTGCTATA